CAAAACAGTAATTGCAGGGGCAGTGCTGATTCATAACTTTGTAAATCTTTTATACCTGCAATTGTGAGGCCCACACTCCATGAGGAAGAAGGTTGGCCAAGATTTACAAATGTTGATAAACCTAAAAAGGCATTTCCACTCTACCTACAGAGTCTAGGACTGAGAAGTCACTGCTCTTGGCAAATAAGTGATTAGTAATCTGTATAAGAGAAATTACCAGGACAGGCAGAAACTGGGACATGTGGAGAGCTGGACAGAAGTGGGTTAAGAAGTGAATAGTCAGTGAAGATACAGGACTGACCAGAAGGTTTGGTGTTAAAGGAAAGCAGAGAGAATCTGTGATGGCTTCGCAGGTAAGTAAGATAGGCATGAATCTTTTTCTCCAAAAGAATCTGGAGTTATATTTACCTACACGGGGGTGCTAGTGGCATGCTTCTATTTGACATTTTCTCCTCTCAGCAGCAGAGGGAGGTAGAGAGTAAAAAATGATGTGGGTTGAGCCCTAAGGAATACAAAGGGATCCAAAATGGAAGGTATTTATCATAAGGAAATTGAAAATCTCACGAGATGACAGGCAGCTCTATAGAATCTCTGCTATTTAGGAGGCAGAAAGACGTAACTTGAGTCTAGGGGAAGATGAGAAAACATGGGATAAAGAGATTTGCATTTTAAAAAGACTACGCATGTGAAAGAGGCCTTTTCGGATCCTTCTTTAGCATGTCGATGTAGGATCTTATGTAAATATGGGACTTGAGTTTGAGGTCTGGCTTTGTGCATTTTGGGTAAACTGCTTTTCCCTAGACCTCAGGAATGAGGGTAACAAAGAACACCAGGTGGGAACAGAGGAGAAGGAAACAAATCATAACAAAAGTTGCACCTCCAGAGAATGGAACCCTGCCCTCAACAGCACCGGAGTCTCTCCCTTCCAGTCAAGCCCTTTACCACTTTTTCAAAAAGCCATTTTGAAATGTGGAAGTGAATGCTGAAGCACATGAAGCCACAATTATTGCTGTGTTTAGGGGGGCATGTCACTGCCCTGCAGACTGTTAGCATATAACTTCAGCATCTCAAAGCACCTAGCAGTCCCTGAAAGGCTGCTAATGCCTGGAGGCAGGCACTCACTTCATTTCAATAGACTTCCCATTCCTGAACCACTTAAGAGATGGGGGAAGCCTTTCTTGAATGACTTACTGCATTTTCAGAGAATATGGCCAGGGAACAATTAAGTTACTTTTCTTCATAATCTGATTCAGTCTATATATATTCCATCAAAGTTCTGGCTATCAGCTTTCTAATGTGGTCCTGAAACTGTGTGCGTGTGCGTGTGTGTAAGAGATGGAGAGAGACTGTTTTCTATCGAAAAGTTCAAACTATCATGTACATATTTTATTCAGTAATTAAATTTTTTCTCCTCTGACTAAACCATCTCAGAATTGTCTGTCTTGCAGTTCTTTAGCTTTTGCTTACCTGGTTCACAATTCAGTGTTAATGTTAAACAGGAAATGGAGAAACAGACACCAAGAAGAAAGGAGATGAGGTGTTCTATGAACATTGTTCCCTGAGTAATTCCAAGGAAAGATGGGCCCACTTGTGAGAGATCTACTGTCCCTCACAACCCATGTATTCTAGGATCCACGCAGCTCTTTTCAGGTGCTTGTTATTTTGTGGCCATGGTAGCATATTTTGAAAACTCATACCACTGTTATAAGATTCATATGTAAATCTGAAATCTATCATTTGGTGAATAACAGTACGACGGTACAAGGAAGCATGAGAAGAGTGAGGGAATCACTTTTGGAACTTGGTTAAAATTAGTACAGTCAACTGCTTCCAGCATTTAGTGTTTTTATTTGCCATTTGTTATAAAAATTGGATCTTTATTTTACACAAAAGGTACTTTAAAAACAGTGAAGTTTACCAAAAGCTACTGAATCTGCGGCAAAGGGATTTACCACCAAAAATGCAGATTTACACGGTAAACCTGAGGGTCAAAAATATTGAACAAAATCTTCCATTTTCTAATAATTCATTACCAGAAGCAAAAACAATTGTGCACAGACAAATATGTGAAGGTTAACAAATGCTAGTTTTCACTCTTGCACTAACCAAAGAAAATGTCTCTATTCCAGATTGGCCCATTATTTCACTGAGTGAAATATTTGAAGAATTTTAAAAAAATCTTCTTGTAAACGTTAATATTTAAACACAACATATACATGCATGAACACATCCATTCTAACTCTATACCCCTTTGTATTCTTAAAATTGCACCATCTCTGCTAGAAATAATGTACAACATGCAGAAGGCATTCATAATTGTTTTTCTCAGCAGTAGTGTATTATACAAGTCAAATGCAAAAGTTAAATATGAAATTAAGCTCAACTGAAAGCCATCTCAATTCAGTATTTTGGCTCATTATTCTGTTAATGCTTTAGTGCTGATGAAATTATTCATATTAAAAATTTGAAGAGAAGGTAGCCTGTTACCAAAGGTATGCAGTAGATAGCTCCCTGTGGATACAGAAGTGATGGACAAGAAACAGAAGGAAACCAATTAAATAGGACTGCAGGTTTTCACTGCTTCAGCTTTTCACATCCAGCTGAAAAGAAATAATTATATCGAGGGCATTCTGCAACAGTAATTAGTTTACACTATTTCAAATATATATAATGACTTCATAATCCAAACTGGAATGCAAAATAACTCCTTCCCTCTCCCACCATTCTGTCTCTGTTTCCAAAAAGAAATAAACAGATTCTGATGCAATGTACAGTTACTGAAAACAAAACAGTTACATTGTCCTGCTTTGGGTAGAGATCAGCTGTAAATACTGCAGGATGGGTAAAATAAAACTACTCAATGAGACATAATTTTAGGCAATGGCTTCCTCCTAAATAAATACATGCTCAAATATCATTGCAAATCTTCTAGCATAAATATATTCTGTTAAAGTGCTGATCAAATTTAGTGCAGTAGGTGAGTGAGTAAGAAAAACAACATACCTTATGTGCACAGGATGATGCTAAGAGAATGTGAAGATGGAAAGATGAAAAGAAAATTTTATTGAAAACGCAAGAAAATAATGTTAAGGCCACAGAATAACTGTTTGATTATTTTAATGGTTTTTGAACCCATCAATATTATGCAATATTTTAATTAAACATAAAATTTTAATCACAAAACACTTGAACAGAAAAAAAAATTTTTCACTATCAAACAATGTTATGCAAATACATCACTGCAGTGCACCACAGCACACCTATCGGAGCTATGCCACAGCACTGAGATACTGAGGATCTCTATTTACCCTGTTTAACATAATGTGAAGTGACATAAAATACAGTGACATACAGGAGAAAGAAATTAAGACTGGGAGTGAAGAATGAAAATATAGTATCTATGTGCCACACAGATGTACCCTGATGTAAGTTAGGAAAAGAACACTACTCCTTTACTGGAATGCTCAGAAACACTTAGGTTCTCAGATCAAGGTTGAGCATGTGATTTCTTTTAAATGTCATAACTTAGGGAATACAGCACTTCATGACTAATGAATTAAAACACTTGCTATCCTACTATTTAATCTACAACCTCCTGCAATTTTGGGGAAAAAACCCCACTAGATATATCAAAAAATAATATTATAATTTACATACATGAAGTATGTGTGTCTGTGTGTGCATGCAAATAAAAGTAACCCATGCCATTACTACCATAAGCTATGAATTTTGTTCTGAATAACCTCCACATTTATTTTTTGGAAAATGCATATGTATTCTTGAAATCAAATGCCAACGAAAGTCTCATAATTATAATTTAACAAACTTAATTGTCTTTATTTAAAATTCTGTTAAGTGAATACGAACACTTGTGAAATAAAGGTCTGCTCCAACTGTACGGTAAAGGTGGTATTAACACCCTATTTTTTATGTGAAGTAGTAGCCTCATTGCTCCTTGCATCAGGGCTACCTTGTCTCAAAAGCGACCTAAACACTGGCGTATAAGGTTTAAATTAAAAGATGTAAAACCATGGCATCAAAAACAATATAGATTGCACCAATAATTATACCCTAGTGTGTGGAAAGCAGTTTATAATATTTATTATTAATCCTGCTAGTAAATTCCTCTAGAAATTTATGTAGGTGATAAGGAAAATTTAGCCAATGACTTTTGCAGTTCAACCAAACCAGTGATGAGCCATGGAGAAGTTCGTCAGGTGAATGGTAGCAAATCTGAATTTTGTTTTGAAAATTCCTCCTATAAAAGAGGGTGAGATTCTTTCATACAAATTCTAGCTAGTTATGTGGCCAAAAACGTTTAAGCACTTTTGGCATATTCATGTCCAAAACTTAATCATATACCACACTGGAATCAGTATACATGATAATTCTATTGTGAAACACTAAAATAAACATCAACTCACACTTAAAAAAAAGAAAATAACAACAAAAAACATGGATATAATTAGAATCTGTTTTCTGAAGTCCTAGAAGTTTCATCAGTTATACCTGCTTCCCTGAGAGCTGAATGTTCTGACTAAAGGCAAGTTTTGGTTAAGTCATTTATTTTTACACTGTTCCTTTCCATTCAGAATAAACAATAATGTGTGAGGCAGTGTGTTTGGTGTCCTATATCCCTTATAGCCAATATTATTCAAATTTCATTTGATTTGAATAGTTCCTTTCTCTGAACTTTAGTGCAGGAGTGTGTGGCAGGTGAGGGAAGCTCTATTTGCTATGCTTTAAAGACTCACTTTCATCTTTCTGGAACAAAGCAAGAGAAAACATTTACCACGCACCACAATTCCATATACACAGTACTGTTTACCTATAGTGCTTTCCCGTTTTGTGTAGGTGCAGTTAATACATTTCTTCATAGTTATATCCAAAGTGAAGAGGTGGCATCATAATGCCTAGACCCTTAGGGAAAAACACATTAAAGATGTACATTTCCCAAAAATGAGTCAGTTGATTTTATTCATTAAAAAATATGCATAATAAAAGGCCAAACACAAAGCTCTTTATAAAAAGGAGCAAAATGTATTTTCCAGAAGAGTTAGATAAAGGCATGAGATGAATTTCAGTTAAATGGATCTATTTCTTTGTGGGTTTTGAGAACTCATTTTAGACACTGAATAGAGGCTGTTTTACATTATAATCACAGCTAGAGATTACGCAGATGGAGGGGAAAAAAAGTCTTTTGCTTTAACTCTTACTAAATTTCTATATTTTAAAATTAATTTCAAAACCAAATGTGTACCTCTCCCCTCTATCACAGTTTTTGTAAGTAATTAAGAATTGTACCCGTACGATTGCACAGCGACTAGGGAAGAGAGAGGTAGATGATTCGGCCACTCTCTTACAAGGAAACCCCCAAATACTTTAGGGCATTAAACACAAGGCTTTTGTTATCCAAAAGTAATTAGTTGCAGAGTACAAAAACATTTTGGAGCAGAATGTACACAAACATGAGAGTCATAAACAGCCAAAACCAAGTACACTAACAGTAAGTTCATAAAGAAATGCATAAATTCTATGTATCTTACAAAAACAATCCTCACAGATTTTGAATCCAAGATTATACAATAGAAAATATTTATATGTTTTACATTTAATATAAAAATTCTTAACAAATAAAAAAAGGCCTTGATGATAGATAAGAAGAAATTTTGGGGAATACATTAATTTTCAGGATGCCCCTGGGATAAAACATCTTAAATACTCAGCTCCTGTTCTAGGCAAAGGCCAAATGCAGGCATTTTCTCAGGGTCATCATTGGTGTTGAGAAAACCAGGTTAAGGAAGACTCAAGCAAGCTGGGAAAGGAAGTAAAAATTAAGCCAAAAACGAATTCTGCCAAGCACAATACACCCCATCTAAAAAAATTTAGGAACATAAATCAAAGACAGTGGTGAGTATACATCAAGACAATTCATATTGATGAGTTTATGTTCTTGGTGATAAATATCAAAACAGGAAGTCAGTTAAAACAAGTGTGCAAATAAGTAATGGGGACTGGGGGAAGAAGAGGAGAGAACACCTATACAATCTTGAAGGCAAACACTGCAAGGAGGAATTCAGTCATTTCATAGCTCCCAGTCCACCCTCGATGTGCATTTCTTGCAACATCTCAATAAGTTAAAGAACAATCATTCACAAACTTCAGGTTAGTGTTAACAGTTTTTACCTGGTTAATTTAGGGCTAGACACTGAGTTGCTTTAATAAGACATTTAGTTATGGTTCATCATAATAGTCACCCATTCTTCATCTCTATTAACTTAGAAAATTACACTTCTCATTTAAAGCCCTGGAGCATTATTTTATTTTTATTTATTTATTTTTTTTGAGACAGAGTCTTGCTCTGTTACCCAGGCTGGTGTACGTGGCACAATCTTGGCTCACTGCAACCTCCACCTCCCTGGTTCAAGCAATTCCCCTGCCTCAGCCTCCCAAGTAGCTGGGATTACAGGTGCATGCCACCATGCCCGGCTAATTTTTTTTGTATTTTTAGCAGAGATGGGGTTTCACCAGGTTGGCCAGACTGGTCTCAAACTCCTGTCCTCAAGCAATCTGCCCATCTTGGCCTCCCAAAGTGCTGGGATTATAGGCGTGAGCCACCATGCCCAGCCGAGCATACTTTTAAAAATGATTTTGAAACATGAGTCTCTTTTCTTTAAGTCAACATTTGTCTAAGCACGTCTGTAAACGTTCTGTTACAGGGAGAGGAAGAGTATTGAGCAAGTTCTCCTCAACAATCAGACAGCTCCGTTTTAGGGACTGACATCCTTCCAGTTCAGGAGGAAGTGTTTCCAGGTAATTACCAATGAGCTCCAGATGAGTAAGGTTGGACAGCTCACCCACGTGAGGGGACAAATTCATCAAGCTATTTTTCCCCAAAAGTAAACATTGCAGCTTTTTGCACTGAAACAGCCCATCTGGTAGCATCTCAATCTAGAAAGGGAAGAAAAAAGAAATTGGTAAAATAGATTTTTGATGTTTTATGATAAGACATTTACCTTTTGCCCAAAAACACATTTCTGGAGGTTTATAAGTGATGTAGACTACAATGATGATAAATTTGAAGCAGATGAAAAGATAGAGGGAAAATAAAGACAGGAGTACAGCGAGGAGTGAGGACTGTGGCTACCTTGGACACCTACATCCTTGCTGTATATGGGTGGGCAACGAGTTTGGTTTTAAACACTCTAACAAGCAATTCTTAAAGAAAATGTAGTTATACACACATTGTCGTTAAGATAAAAAACAAACCAGTAAGAAGAATAATAATTACTCTTGAGTCCTGGATCAGAAATAAATCACCCTCAAGAGTCTTCATAAAACGTTTACTGTGTAATGTAATGAATAATACCCTTAAAAACATCCTAAGATCCTGAGAGCAGACTGAGAACTTTATTCTCTTTTTTAAAAAAGCCTACAGAAGCAGAAGCAAAAAAACATGATTATATATACATGCACATTTCATTCCCCTCTACATACACATACACCTGAATATTTACTCTTGTTCCTTCCCTCTGGCATGGTTTCAATTAAATAATTTATAATACAGAGATAATTTTAAATATAATATATATTATGCAAATTAGGTTAACTCCTAAAGCTGCTCACGTTGACTGCTCCCCTATATGGTAGATAGGTTGTATGTCAATTTCTAAGGGAGCCACAGTACATACAAGAAATAGGGTTTATTGAGGAAAGACCTCCAGAGAAGAAGTTGAGCACATACACAATCCCTTCAACCCATCACTTCACTGAGGGGTAAGTCTGGCCTCAGCATAGATAGACTGCACATACCACCGCCCCCCACCCCCATAATACTTTACATATTGGCTGGGGACAGGGGCCACCTACAAAACTATGAAATAATGTAGGTTCCTTGGTTCAAAAACTGGCTTTGTTAGAAACAGGGATAAAAAGGGCACTCAGGGACTTGGCCTATATCCTCTGATGGGCTAATGCAGACCTGATGGGAGATAAGTTTCTAGGGCCATCCAGAACTGTCTCTCCTCAAAAGGATAAATAGCTTTTATATAAGCTAAAAAATGACCAAATTCCATAAAAAATGTTAATGATGTTGTAAACTCCATTCTCCTACATCACCCCTCCCTCTAACACACATTCAGTGCTGTATATCCTTAAAAATAAATCTAATTACTGTCACTGCTAAGAACAACATTCCATATAGATCAACACTGTACACTAAAATATTAGATATAAACAAAGGGAAAAATATCTACCCTTTACTTTCATTTCCTTTCCAAGAGCAATGCAAACCCGACATATGCAGACCTATATTGAGAGATGAGGCAGAGAGATGAGAAGAAATGCAACCTCTTTCTAAGGCAACCCCTTCTGCACAGAGGCACCTGCAGCTCAGAAGTAGGGTCAGTGATGTCCAAGTGGAGAAAAAATCAGTCCTTTACAGTCTGCATTATTAAGAGTGCTTGTTGGTGCCTATGAAATGACTCAGGCAAACTGGCTAAAAAAGAAATTAGGCTTGGCTCATTTATATTCAGTGAGCACGTGCTGAGTGCCTTCTGATGTGCCAGGTTCCCAGCTAGCTGCTGGGATAAAGTACTGAGTTAGAAAGACTGCCTTTGAAAACTAGCCTAATAATGCAGGTCACCATTGACATCTCAGCCTCAGCATTGTTGACATTCTGGGTGGAAAAATTCTTGCTGTGGGGCTGTCCTGTGCAGTGTAGGATGTTTAGCAGCATCCTCAGCCTCTACCCACCAGTTGCCAGTGCCACTCCCCTTCCCGGTTGTGACAACTAAAAATGTTTCCAGACAAATGTCTCTTGGGAGGCAAAATTATTCCCAGTTGAGAAGCACCAGTCTCACGGAAGAGAGAAACATTAAACAATTACACAATTGTCTGTAATGAGTGGTATGAAGAAAAGTACCCTAACCTGAACTGCATTAGGGAATTCCATATTTCCCTTCTTCAGTCAGCTTCAGATTCCCAGCAAGAACCTCCTTTAACTGGACTGATTTCCTACTGGGTGATTACCCTGAAGCCATTGCCCTCACTCTCTTGTCTGGTTATCAGCACTACCACATTCCCACCAGTCTCCTTTCAAATCTCTACATCTGTGATTTCAGTGGACTTCTCAGGCTCCAGCAGAGGAAAGGGATTTCCCAAGGCAGTGTGAGTGAGCCTCAGGGCCAGTCCCTTAGCATTGCTGCTGTGAATGTGAGTCAAGAGCTACGCTGGCGAAACTCCTCCTATGTGCAAGGGTCCATCTCCAGGGCTTTCTCTCCAGCTCTCTGCCCAACCAAGGCACAGGATCTTACCTCACCTACTCTCATTCAATTTTTCTAAACGAGCCTGGAGAGTTTTGTTAAAGACTCAAGACTTTCCTTCAACTCAGCAATTGTATCCTGAAAAATCTACTTATAGTTTTAAAAATAGTTTGCCTTGAAGCTTACAAGAACTCCAATTTTGCCTGGGTCAACAAATTTTATAAAAACAAATTTTATAAAAAATGTTGGAAAACAATTTATTTAGCATGCCCTTTCTTAGACTGTATGACACATGAGCCAGAGAGCAAAATATTACCTTAGTGGATCACTGATTTCTTCTAAAAAAACCAATGAGAAAGCTTACAGGCTATTATGGGGATGACATACTTCAACAACAAAATGGTTTTATGGAATAAACTATAATATATAATACACACCTACATAAACTATATAATAAACTACAAAATAGATGACAACAACAAAAACTAATGGCTATGTAATCTCTCTACATCCTAGAATTCTCTGACAACCAAATGTCTTCAGCAAAATGAACTGAAGTCCCCGAGAACAGGATGCTTTTCTTTTACATCTATGGCTGACATTGTAAATTAAATACCCCCGCTTTTTCCCAGAGGCTGGGATCTTACTTTAGAATCCTTCTCAATACCAGATTTCCTTTTTTTTTTCCTGGCCAATGACACATGCTATCTTGGGAAATGCTTACCAAACCCTAAAGTCCAATCATTTCAAGAAACACAGCTGAATATTTCTAAGTAGTGATGCCAAAAACAACAAAACTCAGTGTCACACAGATGATCTTCAGAAGGAATTTCTACATTATTCATCTTCTGGCTAGAAGTCTTCAAACTAATGTAAGGAAAAAAAAAAAAAAAAAGCACAAATGTGGAAGTAAGAAGACCTAGCTGTAAACTGGACTGGTCTAAGATTTCAGCAAACCTAGTTCAAAGCCTTGTGCTTCTCTCCATTACAATCAATGCCACCATAATCCAATTACTCTTTGGCACTGCGATAGGGATGGATCTTGGCCTCCATTTCTCCCACCTTCCACGCCCACCCGCACATACTGTTCCCCATGTAAAATCACTTGGATTGATCCAACGAGACATAGTAGAAGAACAGTAGAGTAGAAATCAGAGTGTTTGGGTTCCATCCTAGCCCCCTTGCCAGGAAACTTCAGACCTCAGGTGAACTGCTCTGAGCATCAGTAAAATAAGGGAAGTGGACTAGAGTAGGGGCTGGCAAAGTTTTTCTCCAAAGGACCAGAAGAATAAGTATTTTAGGCTTTCTGGGCCAAGAGGCAAAACTGAAAATATTATGTAGGTCCTTATATAATAGAAAAAAAATTCCATACATTTTTAAGTGATGAAATTCAAAATATAACAATTGAATATCATTTTGTTGTAATACAGGCCCCCTAATAAGAAGAATGGAATCTATTTGTGAAAATTGAAATTTGAATTTCATATAATTTTCATGGGTCACAAAATATTCTTTTGATTTTCTTCCCCCAACCATCTAAAAATGTAAAAACCAATCCTAGCCTGGGCTGTATAAAAACAGGCAGTGGGTAGACCTGACCCCCAGGCTGCAGTCTGCGGACTCAGTGTTCCTTTCAGGTATGAGAGTCTTTGTCTCTTGTTTTAAATCTGTATTCCTACTTCTAAATCATAAGTGATTCAGCCTTTCCACGGGGTTTTGTTTCTTGGCTGTCCTCTCACAAGCCTTTCATATGCTACAATCAGAGCCTCCTTTGAAGGTACCAGTTCAGGCTAACTAGCACTTTCAAGCTCAAGTCTTACCCTAGTCACTATCCAATGAATCAAACATGAATTTGACCAGCAGATTTCCAGGCACTCTCCATTCTGACCCACCTTACTAAATGGTCTCATCTCTTTGTACATCTGGGCACGCTTATTTCAGTCCTCTGTGGATGACCTCTATTTTTTAACACTTCCCTAATCCAATGTTCTAAGGTATGCTTCACAGAACACAAGAGTCACTCTATAAAAAAAGTGTCTTGCTCAAACACATTTGGCAAATATTGCATACCATCTCTCGTTGGAGAAGCACAACGCATATTCATATGTTAAAGGCTCTCCCGCTCAGTGAATATCTGCCACCCAGGGACTGCCGAATACCTTCCCATGTCGAGGTAATTCCCTACCTTATGAGTCTTGGTGGGTAGTAGAGCTCACTTCCTACTAGAGAAACTACCACCACCAGATTCTTGTGTTCTCAGCTCTCTTACAGCCACAATGTGGGCATTCATTAGCTGTGCCAATCAGCTGCTCAGACTCGGACTTTGAATTGGGGCTAACATCACAAAGAAGTCGAAGCCACGAAGAATCTATTCTGTGGGAGGCCCAGGGTCACAAGAGCAGCATCATCAAGTTTTCAGGAACAGAACCAGTGCTCTGAGCTGGTAAGGTCCTCGGAAGTGTATCCTCACCATTGTGCTTTTCCGCTATGATTCTGGCTACAGTCCTCACTGCTGTCTTACTTTGTGCCTGTTTTCCAAGCTTACTTTTGCAGTCTTTTCAGTGGTAATATGAGATACCTAATATCCTTTCAACTAATGTCTTTTCTGCTTACGAGGGAGTATTTGTTGCCTCCATCTATAAACCTGATACACTGCCCAAGTCTTGAGATCAGACGTTTAAAATGCATGCTATAGGAATCTTTATCAACTGCCATTCCACATGGATTAATTGGCTTGAATTTCTGAGTATATGCATATCTAAGTATGTACACAGCCAGTGTGATATTTTCTTTTTTTCCTTTTTTGAGATGGAGTCTTGCTCTGTCGCCCAGGCTAGAGTGCAGTGGCGTAATCTCGGCTCACTGCAACTTCTGCCTCCCGGGTTCAAGCAATTCTTCTGCCTCAGCCTCCTGAGCAGCTGGGACTACAGGCACGTGCCACTATGCCCGGCTAATTTTTTTATTTTTAATAGAGATGGGGTTTCACCATATTGGCCAGGCTGGTCTCGAACTCCTGACCTCATGGTTCAATATTTTGGTCTAACTCAGAATCATGAGACTCTCAAGGTTGGAAATAATCTTGAAATTCGTTAAATCCCCACATGAAACATGAATTCCTGATGCCCTTTAACAACCCTCCTGCTGAGTATCTGGCAGTCCCTGTCTGGAGAGTTTTATTAATAAGAAAATGACTTTTCCCTCCTCAAATGCTCATTCAGTCTTTGGATGCTTATGGAAAGATGAGAAATCTTTCCCTGCTGGCCCTAGTTCTCTCCATTTGCCCTAAGTTCTAACACTGTAGTTATTCCCAGCAAGTTTTACTCTCCATGTAAATTTTTCAAATATCTGAAGACCAATATTGTGGACGATTCTCCCTTCCCACCTGTACTTCCCATCATGAGGCTAAAGTATCCCATCAGAGTTTTCATCTTCCTGGTGGCTGTCCTCTGATGAGTTTTAGTTTGTTTATATTGTTGTTACATAGTCTCTGCACAGTGTTTCTTTGACTCTAAGTTCACCAAAGATGTCATGCTCATCATTTTGGCTCCAAAGATGCTCAGCAACTACTTTTTCTCAGATTTCTGGGACAACCCACTCAAAAAGATACCATTCTATTTTGGTTATAAAGTATTTTCAGCATAAGACTTTTCTTGTGGTACAAAGTATCCTTTCTTATTCAAGAAAGCATGTGTCTGATATTCACACTTATTCTTCAGATATTGTCCAGGATTCCATTCCATAAACTTGTGTCAAAAGTACTAAGGGTCTCAAGGTTTCTTTATTATATTAACTCGGTGAAAATATTCACCTGCTCATACATTTAAATAATGCATGGCCAGCTAACACCTGAATAAGCTGCGACTTTCAAAAATCCATTTTTGAAAGTGATTTAACTGTCTGTAACTGCTTAGTGGAACCAATGCCTTTAAAAATATTATTTATATTTTTATTAAAATTTAACAATGAAAAAAATGTGAGCAAAATATTAATATTAATCATGTGCCTAATTAAATGGCACTGATATACTTCTAGACCTGTGATTTTCAGAGTGCAGTCCCTAGGCCAGCATCATCAGCTCCACCTGGGGACGTTTTAGAAATGCAGACTCTTGGGTCTTACATCCGGCCTACTGAATTGGAAACCCTGGGAGCAGGGCTCAGGAATCTGTGTTTCAGCAAGCCCTTTCTGTTGCACACTGTTAATCTAGGTCAATCCTAATGTAGTTTTAAAATCTCACAAACTTTTAAGATCTGAAGATGTCTCATTTGTCTAACAATGGACTCGCTCCTTTTATATATGAATAAAGTCAGAGAGTTCTAAAAATCAGCATGAATTTTGCTCTCACCCCCCAATTTTCTGGTATTTCTCTAACACCCATGGTTTTCAAAAATAATGTATAATTAATATGTTTATTAGCCAACACGATGCTCATAACTATATTTACCATGACATATGAACTACAAAAAGTCTAAAAGATAATAGATTTTCTTTTTCTTTTCTTTCTTTTTTTTTGAGACAGAGTCTCGCTCTGTCACTAGGCTTGAGTGCAGTGGCGGAATCTCAGCTCACTGCAACCTCTGCCTCCCGGGTTCAAGCGATTCTCCTGCCTCAGGCTCCTGAGTAGCTGGGACTTCAGGCACCCGCCACCACGCCCAGCTAATTTTTGGATAATATATTTTGAAGTGTGGTGGAACAGCTGTACCCATTTTCAAGTAGAGGAATGTCAGTTTCATACCTTGGTAGATTTGATTTCTGACCAGGTTTTCCCTCTTTCTTCCAAAATGGACATTAGCCTCACTCTCTTACCTTTAGACTACCATGAATTTTTCCTTTTTCCTCCTCCTCCATATCTTAACCTAGGAAACTACTCATTTATTTTGTTTTTTCATGTTTTGGTAAAGTTAAGTTTTCCTTAACTTGGCTTTACTATTGCAAATTATGGTTCATTCTAAAGTATGGATCCTGGAAAAAGCTTCTAAGAAGCCATAGTGTTGCATTATGGAGGCAGGCCTTTCATTTTGAATCATCTTTCCAGACATGCATGCAGACTTCAAATCTTTTTCACAACGTCACAAAAAGGATTTATGAATAATTCATAATCCCAGCATTTTAAAATAAGAAGTTATTTTATTATGACAGATTTGGAAAACGGAAAAGTTTTACCAAACTCCCTAAATACTTAAAACCTTCATAAAACAAAAAGTAAGCTCTACCATAACGAATTAAATAGTTTAAAATACTTTGTGATGTTTATGTAGAAAATTGGGGGAAAAAAAAACACAAAGAGAAAAACATTTGCTGAGCAACTATTATGTGCCAGGAATTGTGCCAAATGCTTATATGTTTTTTCATAAAATCTCCATGACGACTTGTAAGTTAGATTAAAAATGGATGCTCAGTGTTTTGGTAATTTATACAAGATCAGATTGGGCTTGGCTTGAGAACACATAGCATGATTTGAAGTGTGTTTGCTTGCCCTATGTAACACACTACAAGTGCGGCAGATACTGAACAAAAGAAGGAATGGATTTACTTACATTGTTGTTGGTCACAGCAAAGTACTGCAAATTGCTCAGATACTGGATTTCTTCTGGAATGAAGGTCAAGTGGTTACAGCTTAGATCCAAATAATGTAGTTTGGTGCATAGGAAAAGCTGCAAGGGCAGATTCTCAATATTATTATGGTCCAAAGAGAGCTGCTCGAGGTTAGATAATGCCCCAATCTGTGCAGGAATATAAGCAATGTTATTGTGCCATAACTTTAAGCAGGAAAGATTCTGAAGATGCTGAAAGCTAATGATCTCTTCCACAGTTTTAAGGTTGTTTTCCCTTAGGTCTAACTCATGCAAATTATTCAGGCTGAAAATGGAGTGTGGAATGCGTTCCAGGTCACAGCTGATCAGTTCTAGGCTTTTCAGATTGATCATCTTTTTCAAGTTGTTCAACACAACCAGTTTGCTTCCCTCATTATCAAGGGACAGTTTCTGCAGTGAAGGCAGGAGGTCTGTAACAACCTGTGGGATCCGGGAGAGGCTGCTTTTCAAGTAGAGGGTCCTCAGATTTTTTAAGTCCTGAAAGCCCTCCAACTGCATAGTACTCAACTGTTCAGGGAGAACACAGCCTGAAAGATAAAGTTCCTTGAGATTCTTGAGGTGAAATACCCAGCGTGGGATTTTTCCCATTTCAGTAAATTTCAGGCGGAGGATCTTTAAATTCTCCTCTAGAAAGGCCAGTGCAGGATGGTCTACGACCAGAGATGAATGGTACACACGAAGCTCCTTGAGGTTGACCAGCTGTGAGACTGCAGAGGGCAGCTTCACCTCTGGGATAAGCTCCAGGCTTAGCACTTCCATTTCAGTTAACTCAAAGACATTGTCTGGAAGACCATTGAGCATGAAAAGATGCAGCTCTATCTTGTCCTGGGCATTTTTCACAAGCTTACTTTTCAGTTTCTCAACTGTCCATTCATTATTGAGGTTGATCTGTTTCAGTTTGTTCTCACTGACCTCTGACAGGAATATGGAGAAGCGTTTGGAATAAAGAGGATCATACTGATCAGCCAGATGAAGGATGAAGGCAAAGTCATTCTTGACATCAGGAATGTCACTGTAGTTGCTTTTTTCTCTTAACGCCTCAAAGGAATATTGCTTCAGGGAACTCCTCAGCATCCACCACAGGCTGTAGGAAGAGGTCAGACCGTAAAGTATAACCAAAATGACATAAAATGAAGCCAGGACCTTAAAGATTTCTGCCAAGGAATAGACACACTGGTAGCGCTTGTATCCTGTAAAAGCCTGCACATCAACTGAACAGTCGATTTCAAGAGTGATGTAGGTTAAAAAGTATGGAACATAAGTTATGATGAGCACAAACAAAATGACTTTGACTATTATCTGTTTCAGATATACTCTATAAATGATGTCCTTCTGCTCCACGTGCATGCGGAATCTTCTCACTTTTTCAAAGATGGCTTTGGCCTGTTCACCCTCCTTCTTGTCCAGGACACTGGAAGTTGGGCTTTCTATGCCAGCTGACTCCAAACCTGGCTGCGGGTAGGGCAATGACTGTTTGCTAGAATCTATGTCAGCTGAACACCCTGAGGACGAAAGCAAAATCTTGGACTTGGAGAGTTTCAGAGGCCTCACTGACTGCTCGGCCACTGTTTCAGACAGGGCGCGGGTGGTCCATGGAGAATCGAAGCATTTGTGAAGGATGGCCACAAAATGCTCGAGCCTGGAACTGGTACTGGGGTAGTGAAGCCAAAAGTTGCTACAGGCTGCAAAGATGAGCGTGTGCAAGAGCACCAGGTAGGGGAAAAACTTTGCAAACCAATGGAGCTGTTTCTCGTAACAGACGGCGTCGATATAGGAGTACTGCTGTCGGTGGAGGTCATTCTGGATTCGGAGGGGGAGTGGAAGCGGTGTCCCAGGATTAGAGGATGTGTTCATGCTGGCTTTCAGGATGTCCCAAGGCACGGCACAGTGATTGTCAAATTCCACTTTGCACGGAAGACAGCACAGAACCCTGCTCTGCGTCAGCTGGAGAGCTCCGGCCAGCACGGCCACCAGCAGCATGATCAGTGTGATGTAATACCAGAAGACGTCCCACCATGGTTTTAAGATGTGATAAGATGACTGGGCATCTGCTAAGCATTTTAGCTCAGTTAGTGTAATCATGACTTTCCCTTGTAGGAGGACAGAAACTGGAAGAGGAAAATAAACACTACTGAAGCAAGCACTCAAATAAGCATTTCACTCTAATGCTCATACACACATGCCCTCCCTTCCCAAGCAGGATTTAGCTCTGGGGTCAAACCTAAAAGGGAGAGCTGATCAAGGGGCACATAAGTCTTCTGGTTTCATTTGAAACCATAGGCCATCCAACTTTGAGCCATAGTCTCTTAGATGGGGGACCGTTTAGTGATAGTGACTAGAAAGAAATTTAGGGGGAGCTCTTGAGGTAATTATCTCATTACGTCTTGGATCTCAACTCCAGGCTAGGCTACTAAAAACCAGGAGTCAATCTGTCTTCAACGGACATTTGAAAAACTTGTTCCTATGCTCCTTCCTCCCTTCCTCACCCCCCGCTCTTTCTCTCTCTTTTTCTTTCTTTCTTTCTTTGACAGGGTCTCACAGGCCTTAGACTCTTGGCTTCAAGTGATCCTCCCTGCTTGGCCTCTGAAAGTGCTGGAATTACAACTATGAGCCACCACAGCCAGCCACCTAATTTCCAATGGTCACACTGTACCTTCCGAAATGTCTGAGTAAGCTCCTTTCCACACCTTCTCCCACATCTGAAGCATCACTTATAGCCCGAAAGTTGTTTTAGTCACCACAAGGAGCCTCTTTTAAGCAAGCTCTGCTTTGTAAAATTACCCCTTAGGCTTAGAGGGGTCTACAATTCTATGCCCAAAACAACCTGTCACTGAATGTATTATCTCCTTTCCACACAAGCTTTCGCTTTGTAATTTAAGTACGTGAGTATTAAAAAACTTTGAGTATTTAAAACTTGGGAAGTATTTAAAAGTTATGGCTTAAAAAAGAATACGGAAGAAAAGCTCTGCCAGAATACTCGATCACGGGGACTCCCTCCCATGTTTAATGTTGTGATGGCAAAGTGCTAAAAAGATAAACGAATAAGGTATATTCCATTATTAAATTATTTTTGACTTCAGGAAAACAAGATTATCTTGTATTTTCATCCTGAAAAGTATTAAGACAACATTCCCGAGAATTTCTATGTTGAGTCTTACATACATCAATTGTTTCAAAAATTGCTCATCAGTAAAATCCAGATCATCTATAAGATAGCACAGAGTAAGGTAAAAGGAAATATATGGGTCTTAGAAAATATCTGCTAAGAAAAAGAAGAAAAATAGTAACGGTAGCATGGTCCTCCCTTGCTGGTAGTCCAGCTCTAACCTATTTCCAAGGGCTTCTCCTGGATTTTCTTGAGTCTGGAGTCTTATCATCTATTCTGGGCCTGAGTTTCTCTCTAGACACCCTAGTATTAGTAGCATCCCCAAGGAATACTTTTTTTTTTTTTTTTTGACATGGAGTCTAGTGGCGCAATCTCAGCTCACTGAAACCTTCGCCTCCCAGGTCCAAGCAATTCTCCTGCCTCAGCCTCCTGAGCAGCTGGGACTACAGGTGCATGCCACCATGTCCGGCTAATTTTTGTGTCTTTTTAGTAGAGATGGGCTTTCACCATGTTGGCCAGGCTGGTCTCGAACTCCTGACCTTGTGATCTGCCCACCTTGGCCTCCCAAAGAGCTGAGATTATAGGCCTGAGACACTGTGCCCAGCCAGGAAGACTTTTTTTACTCTCATTTGCCCTCTTTCTGGGGTCTGGTATCTTGCCTTGAACCTTAGAGTCCCATTACAGAGTCCCTGCTCCCTGTTAATAAGTCTCATCCTCAGCATATTCCTGACCATCTGACCCTGAACCCTACAGCTTCATGCTCTTGTACCTGTTAGGGCATTCTACAATTTCTGAGTTTAATTGCTGGACTGGAGCACTACTTTCTGCTTGCGTCCTCTCTGGGCATCACATTATATTATATGGATTCACCTTCCTCCTAGGACCTACAGGTGGATTATATAACTCTTCAGGGCTTCTCTCCTTCACTCTAGCTAAGTGGGTCTATTTCTAACTCTCAACTCTTCTCATTCCGCCTCACCTCTCTGCCTTACATAATTGTGTGTCAAGGTAAGACAGAAACTAAAATGAGAGGAATATATGAGGCAAAGAGAAAGTCCTGGGCTTAGACCTCAAAATACTATAAATATGATGTAGGGGTGTGAGGGATGGTAGAAAACACTGCTGGATGAAAGAACGAATATGTGAAAAATACTTTAGGATTTTAGTTGACATGTATGCATACTTTCAGCTAGTCATGTGATAGTTGTTACGTTGAAATATTGATTATAACTTCTGGCCATATTAATAGGTGAACCCAGATAAAGGAGCTGCAGTCCTCCTGTACCTGCCTGGTGAGATCACAATACTGAAACCCAATGCTCAGTTACAGGTTAAAGACAAAATGGGCCAAAAACCAACCAGGAGCTGTTGTTTCCAAACCATTTCCTACAGAGGAACACAGGCAATTGATGAAATTCAGCTGAGATAACAGATGACTAGGTGAGCCTGAGAATTTATCTTTACATTTTTGCACAACAACCTCACAGGTGAAAGAATAGTGGATTTGCTCCCAAGGTAGAACCAGGTAGGTGGAAGCTTTAGAAAATTACATTTTGATTCAGTCTGTGGTGGAAAGTCATCGAACTGGCTGCTGTGTGAAACAGTTCAGCTCTATGTCCTGAGCAGAATCTTGATCAATAAAATGACCATCCATCAGGGAAGTTGCAAAGGAATTTCTTGTAATGGATAAAAAGAGTGAAGCAGATAATTTCAAAGGATTCTTTCAGCTCTGAATTCATGTTTCATTTGTCCTCTCACAGGTCCCGAGAATTAAATTAATTTAAGATATGCAACTGAAATTGTAGAAGAATGAAAACAACAGTAGCTCTAACAATGATAAGGGTATTTGACAGAGAGTGAATATTTAGTCAATAAAAATACAAGTCAACATTGACCAAAATAATGTGTTTTAAATATTTATACTTACTATAATGAAAAAAATTAAATAAATCAATATGCTTCAGTCAGGAGGTCTACACCTTTTGAAGTTTCTTAGACACACCATCTCTGTGTTTGTCTTCATTCTATGAGAAAACATAAATATCTTAAAATAGCTATAGTCATTCAAACAAACAAACTGAAGATACTGTCTCCAGAAACCCTCTCTGTCATAAGACATGATATGGCAAATAGATTTTCATGCTCCTGGCCTCAAGCAATCCTTCCACCTTGGCCTCTCAAATGCTGGGATTACAGGTGTGAGCCACTGTGCCTGGCTTAGATTTTCACAGGCCAGTTTACTTTTCACACTGGGGCACATTCTGGCAAAGTTGTATCTACAGGGCCCCACTCATATTCATTAAACCATACTCACTCCCTGAACTTCTTTTCAATTACAGGGAAGTTCCTTCAGAAATTTAAATACAACATATTTTAAAATTCTGTATCTACAACACTTAGATGAACACTTAGTTTTTCTAAGTAGTCAACATATGTTAATTTATCTCACTCATTCCTCATACACAGTTGTTCTTATTTGCATTTTTCAGATGGCTTGTCACACCAAGTGATTTCTGTACCCATATTTAAAACCAAACATCTATCCAAATAAGTCTCAGTGCTCCTAAAATTTAGCCTACCAATCTCATTAGAAAAAGTGACAAGTTAATACACCTTTCCAGATACAGCTCAGAAATATGGCTGAAATTACTGGAAATTATGTTATTATTAAATATACTTAGGCTTTATATTTGTTTAATTTAGAGGTTAATAAAACCCATTTGTAACATTTATAGTTCAATAATTTGTGATAGTTAAATTACATATATATTGATAATTTGAACTGTGAGAAAATTGTAAAATGCTAGAATTTGTTTTTAATTGAATGTAAAAATTATATCTTTTAGTACCTATGAAACCTCAAAAAAAAGTTTCTAGGGAGGTTTTATATTATACAATCCGTTTTAAAAAGTACTTCAAATACTCCTAAGAGTACTGACCCCAAATTGTATTTAAGATATTTTTAGCAATAATCTTGTAAGCTTGTCATTTCAAATATCAAAAAGCTGGGCATGTCCGAAACTTACTTTGGGTTTACCAAGCCATGTGCAAAGCCTATTTTACAATTAGTCACCATCCAGCATCAAATTGTTTTGAAGGTTAGAAAGCACACTTAGTATGTATAAGAACCTAGCTGTATACTAATTCATAATTACATGGCACCACTGGAGTAAGAATTTCTCATTCACAATTCACAAGCCTTTATAAAAGTCTTACAACATATATCACATGACTGCATTTATGTGCACTGAGCATGATAAAGACATCTGATGTGTGAAACATTTTACATATTCTTTCACAGCAGCTGCATTTGTAACATGCCAGAAAAGAATTTATTGCATAATTCAAAAATGCTACTCAGCCATGATTCTTTTTATACAATACAGTTCTCCTTAAATATCAGAAATACACTTTCTACTTTATTAATAATTTAACATCTGTTTTTCTACCTTCAAAGCACGTCTCATTTACATTAATTTGCTTTATACTTAAAACAAGCCACTGAAATAAATAGTATTACTCTTTATGTTTATATGCATAGAAATTAACGCAGGCTCAAAGAATTTACCTTGCCCAAGGTGACAAAACCTGCAAGAAATAAAGTTGCAACTGGAACCTAGGTCCTCAGACTCAAATCCCAACCTCATGCACACCAGACGACATGGTCTCAGTCAACCCAATTAACAGTCTTAGGTCTCTCAAAAGCTGAAGAAAAAGCTAATTATCGCTCTTTCCCAACTCACCCAATATCTGCATTATAACCGGGTTCTAGTATAATCTTTTGAATAAGGATGTAAATCTAGTTTTCTGTAATGTCTTCCATTACATACAATCTACTTTTTCAGCTAAACATTTTCCTACTAAATATTTTCTACTGAACTAAAACTTAATATTTAAATATACAACATCTGGATTTAAGTATATATAAAATATCTCAGCATTCCTATATATAAAATGATGCTAATTTTCCTATGAAGTGCTTAACTAGAGAGTTTAAGCATAGCTATCCTTTGTCATTATGCCATTTAATACTGTCTGTCCAGGAAATTGTTTCCAGACCATATTTTAGTAAACAATGGTGACTCAATCCAAATAAGATCTCTATTTCTAATATACAAACACACTAAATCATTCCAAAGAAATGTTAAGAGTAATGGATTTTGCAGTTCTAATCCCATTCTTTCAGCTTTTAAACCTCATTAAGAAGTCATAAAAGCTTTTTCAAAACACATGAATTCACTGACAATCTTACTCCAAAGTCTCTAAGACTGTAAAATCAACATTCAAGTTAGGCATCAGTACTTCCCAGTAGTCCTTATTTTACTTTGAAAGCATTTCTAAAATAACAAGTGAAAAAATAAACAAATGATGATCAGATGGTATTTAGTGTCATTATATACTGAGAACTGGAGGCTACTTCAAAGATCTGTCTCTGACCCCAGGCAGGGATTATAGCCGAACAATTCCAAAAAGTGGTTCTCTACATTACTCTCATTGAACACTGATTTAAAAATCACCTTAGAGCCCTTCAAAATGTTTAGTGCTACTTCCCATTAAGATGTTTTTTGGGACTAACATATATCTAACTGAAATTTAAATTCACCTTTTGTTGAGTTCTTTCTCCAGGAAACAATGCATCAGTATCTCTGATTAATTTGCCCCCTTTCTTTATGCTAAGTAACTCATTTAACCACTCTTGAGAGATTTAATGACACGCATTAAACATTTTCAAGTACCTAAATGATCACCAGCAGTAACATTTGATATACCAGTTTCCTTATGTCCCTTTCCAGTTCTTTCAGATCTTGTTAGTACAGTGATTTTCAAATAACAAACACACTTCCCAAACTCAGTTGTAGTTTTGAGACCTAGATTTTTCTAATAGTGGTTCTCTAACATTAATGGACATAAAAATCACAAGAGCTTATTAAAACATCACATGATGAGTCCATCCCTCCGAGTGGCCAATTCATAAGGTAGGAAGTAGGTCTCGAGAACTGCATTGCTAACAAATTCCTAGTTCATGTTGATGCTGCTGGTCCAAGGACCACTTTTCAAGAATCACAAATCTAAGACAGTGATTCTCAATCTCAGCTTCACCTTAGAACCTCTTGGGGCACTTTTAAAAGAAACCTAAACCCAGGCCTTACTCCCACAGAGCAAGTCAATTGGTCTAGGAGAGGCCAGATTTTTTTTTTCCTCCAAATCTCCCCAGGAGGAGAAAGCTTACAAGATAGACAATAAAGTTATCTGAGAAAAGCGCCTATCTTTTAAGTCTTCATGGAAGTTGCACTAGACATCTAGGATGCTCTCTCCACTCTACAGACTACAAAGTAACAGATACCATCTCCACATGAACCCTTCAGAGTCTCAGAAATGTGAAGCGGTAGAACAGTGAATCACTGAGCTATGGAGATATGCAGGATGGTTTGTGGGAGGAGGGATTAGAAACAAAGGGAGCGGCTGAAAGCCTATTTCAATTATGTGGGTGAGAAATAATAAGGGTAAAGTTTATAATATGTTCAAAAAGAAAGCCAAGAATAAAATAGTCAAGGGAAATTAAAATTCAGTACCACCTATAGCAACATCAGATAAAGAGGTCCACGCAGAGGCAAGAGTCAAGTGGATTCAGATTTTGATCCTATGATATTATAGTATCTTACACAGTTTCTAGCACATGGGGCACAATAAATATTTATATAACAATTTAATGTACAAAATGAAAAAGATCCCCCAACCATTCAAACTTTTAGGGTGTATTCAGGGTGACAGAGCCTTTCCCAGGGAGTGGCAAGAACTCAGCAGCAATAGAGATGGGAGAGTTTTTGCTAACTGTTCTGCAAATTCCAAGCCTTAATGGCTTAAGAAAAAGTTTTATTTCTTGAGATTCTGTGGGAGGTTCTTTCACTTCATAGTGTTGGCTGGCACACTTTCCAGATGGTTGGAAGGTACAAAATGTCCTCATTCCTTAGGCTGGTCGTTGGTGCTAACTGCTGGCTGGTAACTCCTTCATGTGAGAATCCATGTGGCTCTTTGAGTGTCCTCACATAGCATGGTGGGTGGGTTCTAAGACAATACATTCCAAGCACAAAAGTAAAAGCTATAGCTCTTGTAAGGCATAGGCTTGAAGCTACACACTGACACATCCACCAAAATCTACTGGCCAAAGGAGTCATAAGTCCAGTCCAGATTCAAGGGGAAGGGAAGTGGACTCCACCTTTTAATGGGAGGAGTGGCAAAGAGTCTCCAGCCATGCTTAATCCACCACAGTCTACTCTCTGGCCATGCAATGATTTACATTCCTCTTACATGCAAAGCACACTAACACTTTCTCAAGATCCCCCCCAAAACTTCATCCCACTATGGCATCAAATTCAGGCTTGAAGTCCAGGATCTTGTCATCTAACTCAGTTCCAGAAAGCTGTGGGACAAGACCCTTGAAATTATTAGAAGCCCTACCATTTAGCTGAGAAGTTCTATGAGGCACTGCCTTCAATCTTTTTAAAGTTTTAATAAAGGGTCTTACAGCTATGCCTTTACTTTTATTTTCACCTTGAGACCATGTTTTACTGGCAGTAATGTTCTGGATCTGATCTTCTGATCTTTGGACCTGAGGCCATTTCTTTCTTTGAGTATCTTTTGCTGGGTAGAAGAGCTGGGGATGAGAAACAGTTGGATTTACAATCTGAGAAAATTCAAGATTGGAAATACTTCCTCTGAAGTCTGCTTAAAATCAAAATGGTTTCTTCTTTAATTGGTCTCTTTCTTGAAATACTTTGATCATAGTATCAAACAAAAAGAAAAAGGAGTTAAAGGGGTCACTCGGAGCTTCTGATATTTTGCTGGAAAATCTCCTAAGCTAGATCCACAAGTTCATTAGGTTCATTATCTATGTTCCATGTTACTGCAGGTGATGGTCTTGCTGACTTTTTTCTCAATATAAAGCAAGGGTGCCATTTGACATCCTCCAACAGCAACAGTATTCTAACTGCCCTTCAGGCCTTCACTGACACCTGGTCTCAAA